CTCTTGTTTAACCTTTTCATCTCTTCTTTAATCTGCTTCAAATTACACCATATATCCTTCATATTTCTATTCTCCTTTTCCCATCTGCTTCTTATTATTTCTTCAAACCCTGGATGCTCGGTGAGACAGTTAAAAAACTTGAAAGGTCTCCCTTTATACTCCATTCCAGTCTCCACCTCTATACATAAAGGAGAGTGATCAGAGAAATGAGGATCCATCACACAGACTTGCAATGGTGGCATATTCATCATCCAATGTGCATTTACAATAGCTCTATCAATTCTACTAAACACATGGCTGTTTGTCCATGTGTAAGTTCTTCCCGCAGTTCTTAGTTCATTTAACCTGCAATCCTCCATTAGAGCTCTAAAGTCCTTGATTTCATTATCCTGTATTTCTGTACCATTTACCCTGTCTTCTTTGTCCAATACTGCATTAAAGTCCCCCATGAGAAGCCAAGGACTATCCATCTGTGAATCAATTTTCTTTATTCTTCCCACATATCACACCTATGAGCAACAATATGCAGTCCATATATAGCTGTAAACGCAAATTGCTTGCTGGAGTTATTATTTTTTATTATACCATGAATATATTGAGTATGGGATTGCAACATAGTGAATTGAATACTATTTGCATCCCAGAGAATCCAAATTCTACCTCTTTCAGTAGCCTTACTATTTGAGCACCAACTCCAGCCTGGTGCACATTTATTTATGACCTCCTTTTCTTTAGTATTCTGTACCCTATGCTCAACTATTGCTATAAGATTGATTTTTTGTTTTTCCAAGAAAATTTTCATCTCCTTTTGCTTATGAACCTTATTAAAACCCCTCACATTCCATGTCACTATCTTCATATAGGTTTCTGTTTAGTTGGAATTATCTCTTCACCTTCTCCCCTACTACATTCAGCTTTATTATCATCTTCCCAGCATGTTTTGACTTCAATTGTTACTTCTCTTAATGGAGAAAAGCCATTTGTAGTCCTTATAACTTGCTGTATAGGACTTGTCAGTCCCACCCTGCCCTTTGCTTTTGTCCATACTTGTTGATCTTCTTTTGGATTCTGTGTTTCATCTCCTTGATCGATTTGTTTGCCCGTGTCCCTCTCTACTTGCTTTGATGGCCCTATTGTCACTCATTGAGTTGTTGGTTTCCTTGTTTGCTGAATATTCCCAATTATATTGGTACTCCTTCCTTGCTGTTTATTCTGATGTTGCTCATTTTGAACACTTCTTTTTGTTGTTTCAGCTCTGCCTTGATCTCTTTCACAATCATGACCCACCATCAAACACTTCCTACAATACTGAGGAACCCAATCATACTCCACCATTTGCTCAAACTCTTTGCCTGAAGGATCTTGAATTTTGATACACTTAGGTAACTCCTTGCTGATATCCATCTCTATAAGCACTCGAGCATAGGAAATTCTAGAAGCATTACTTGTACACTCATCAGCATACAAAGGTGTTCCTAGTCCACTAGCAATTCTACTCAATGTCAATCGTCCCCAACAGTTCAAAGGCAAGTTAGGGAAGCTTACCCATAATGGAATAGTTTTAAGAACTTCATTGTACAAATCAAAGTCCTCTGTCCATGATTTCAGAATCAATGGCTTCACTCCCATTGTATAAGGTCCTGAGTATAGTACAACATTTTTATCATCCATACTATTGAATAGTATCACAAAATAGCCTTCATTATGATAGTACACTTTAGGTTTGGCAGCAAAGTTCCATTGCACAACTATGAATCTCTCCATGGCTCCTACTGACGGTGATTCTCCAATGATATATACAATTATAGCTTTCTGCCACTTGTATTTTCCAATTCCATCTCCTCTTGCTATAATTGTACCTTTTTAACCCCATCCTGAATAGTAGGTGGTATGAACACTAGGTCCATACCTCTTGCAGCCATTTTATTCCCTGTGAACAGATTTGACCATTTCTGTTGATTTTCCCCTACTACTACTTTTGATTTCTCTTGTTCTGCCTCCTTCGTTGCTTTTTGATTCAGTAATTGTTGCTCTTTCAAAGTAGCTTCTCTGTTCGCACTGTCAACTACCTTATTCTCCATGATTTTAATGTTTGCTTGTGTTATTCTTTTACAGAAATGACTAATGATAATGGAAACCAAGCTGTTCCGTTGGTGACTGCCAATGCGTTGACAAGCTGAACACCGGCATTGGCACCGACGGAGAAACCCAGGATATTTTCCGGGTTAGATTTCAAGTGATTGCAGCAGAAGATGTTCTTATACTTGACTACTTTAAGTCTGCAAAAGTTCATTAAGGAAGATGTTACTGTTCTGCCTGAAGAAACTCCAGAGAATGAACTTTCTCGTGATTGAGGCATGGAAGCATTCTGATTATCTGTGCAAGAATTTTGTTCTTAGCGGACTGGAGGACGATCTGTATAATGTCTACAGTAGCGTGGAGACGTCAAAAGAATTGTGGACCGCGCTTGAAAAGACATACAAAACTGAAGATGCCGGGTTGAAGAAATTCGTCACCGCTAAGTTTTTGGACTAAAAAATGGTAGATAGCAAGTCTGTTATTACCCAAGTCCAGGAATTGCAAGTGATTATTCACGATATCCTTTCTGAAGGTATAAATCGAATTAATACTGATGTTGAAAGTAGTAATATTAGTATTTTTACTAATAGAATTTTCATTGAAGATCTTGTCATCAATAAAGCATTCCACGTAGCAGCGATGATTGAGAAGTTGCCTCATTTGTGGAAGGACTTCAAAAACTACTTGAAACACAAACGCAAGGAGATGTCGCTTGAAGATCTCATTGTTCAGTTGAGAATCGAAGAGGACAACAAAGCTGCTGAAAAGAGAGGCCGTGGAAACTCAACAATAATGGGAGCAAACATTGTTGAGGATACTTCTCAAAATAAGAGAAAGAGGAAGCAGGCTTCTGGACCAAAGAGCAACCCAAGCAAGAAGCGGTTCAACGGAAATTGCTACAACTGTGGAAAGCTGGGCACAAATCTACAGAGTGCCGTGCTCCAAAGAAAGACAAGAAGAAGGGTCAAGCAAACATGGTTGAAAAGCATGAAGATGTTAATGACTTGTGTGCTATGCTTTCTGAATGCAACCTGGTGGGAAATCCTAAGGAGTGGTGGATTGATTCTGGAGCCACTCACCATGTTTGTGCTGTTAGGGAAGCCTTTGCAACATATGCTCCTGTTGGACCCGAAGAGACGCTTTCTATGGGAAATGTTGTAACCACCAAGATTGAAGGATGTGGGAAGATCTTTCTGAAAATGACTTCTGGCAAGGTGGTGACTTTGAACAACGTCCTTCATGTTCCCGAGATTAGGAAGAATTTAGTCTCTGCTGGACTTCTTGTTAAGAACGGTTTTAAGTGTGTTTTTGTATCCGATAAGGTTGTAATAAGTAAGAACGAAATGTTTGTAGGAAAAGGTTACCTTACTGAGGGCCTTTTCAAGCTGAATGTAATGCTTGTTGAGAATAATAATAAAATTTCAGCTTCATCTTACTTACTTGAGTCAAATGAATTATGGCATATACGTTTGGGTCATGTCAATTATAAAACCTTGCGAAAAATAATTAACTTGGAAGTATTGCCTAAGTTTGAATGCGAAAAATCAAAATGTCAAATATGTGTGGAATCTAAGTATGTTAAACATCCTTATAAGTCAGTTGAAAGGAATTCAATTCCTTTAGACTTAATTTACACAGATATTTGCGACATGAAGTCAATACTATCTTGCGGTGGAAAGAAGTATTTCATAACTTTTATTGACGATAGTACTCGATATTGCTATGTTTACATACTTAATAGTAAAGATGAAGCAATAGACGCATTCAAGCAATACAAAAATAAAGTTGAAACGCAACTTAACAAGAAAATTAAAATGATAAGAAGTGATAGGGGTGGTGAATATGAATCTCCTTTTGAACAAATATGTTTAGAATTTGGAATTATTCATCAAATAACGGCCCCTTACACGCCCCAATCCAATGGGATCGCTGAAAGAAAGAATCGTTCATTAAAGGAGATGATGAACGCATTGTTGTTAAGTTCTGGTTTGCCACAGAACTTGTGGGGGGAAGCCATTCTTACGGTTAACCGGATACTAAATCGAGTACCCCATAGCAAAACACAATCCATTCCATATGAAAAATGGAAAGGAAGGAAGCCCAACTTGAATTGTTTTAAAGTGTAAGGGTGATTGGCAAAAGTGCAAGTTCCTAAACCCAAAAGGGTTAGAATAGGACCGAAAACCGTTGATTGTGTTTTCATAGGATATGTGACCAATAGTAAAGCATATCGATTTCTGGTTCATAAATCAGAAAATCCCAACATTCATAATAATACGGTTAGAGAATCAGATAATGCTGAGTTCTTTGAAAATATATGTCCGTATAAAAAGGAATGTGAGTCGATTGGTGAAGGATCTAGACGACCTCGGGAAGAAACAAAAGAAAGTACATTTAATCAGGATGATCCAAGACGTAGTAAACGTCAAAGAACGTCTACTTCATTTGGACCAGATTTTGTGACTTTCTTATTGGAAAATGAGCCTCGAACATTTAAAGAAACTATGTCTTCTTCGAAATCATTATTGTGGAAAGAGGCAGTCAATAGTGAAATAGAATCCATATTGAACAACCATATATGGGAATTGGTTGATCTTCCTCCTGGAAATAAACCTTTGGGTTCTAAATGGATTTTTTTAGAGAAAAATGAAAGATGATGGCACTATTGATAAATTTAAGGCAAGACTTGTAGTCGAAGGGTATAGCAACGAGAAGGTCTTGACTACTTTGGTACATACTCTCCAGTTACAAGAATTACGTCCATATGGATGTTAGTAGCATTAGCTGCAGTGTATGATCTTGAAATTCATCAAATGGACGTTAAGACGGTCTTCTTGAATGGAAATTTGGAGGAAGAAATCTACATGGAACAACCTGAAGAGTTTGTGGTTCCAGGTAAAGAAAAGAAGGTATGTAAACTTGTTAAGTCCCTTTACGGACTAAAACAAGCACCCAAACAATGGCATGCAAAATTTAACCAAACAATGTTGTCAAATGGTTTTAAGATAAATGAATGTGATAAATGTGTGTACATTAAAAATGTTCCAAAACATATAGTCATTGTTTGCTTATATGTGTACGATATGCTGATAATGAGTAATGACATTGCCAACATAAATGCTACTAAGTGTATGCTAACTAGCAAGTTTGATATGAAGGATTTGGGAGTTGCTGATTTAATTCTGGGGATTAAGATCCATAAAACTCCTCAAGGTATGGCATTGTCACAATGTCATTATATTAAGACAGTACTTGAAAAATTCAAGCACTTAGGGTTTAAAGTTGCAAAGACTCCAATTGACGTGAATCTTGCATTAGCAAAAAATAAAGGCCAAAGCATATTACAATTGGATTATGGTCGTGTGTTGGGATGCTTAATGTACATCATGAATTATACACGACCAGCTATAACTTGTGCTATAAGTAAATTGAGTCGATACACGAGCAATCCAGGTCAATCTCATTGGATGGCAATGAAATGAGTTTTGGGATATTTAGAACATACCCAGGGCTTTGCTTTGCACTACAGTAAATATCCTGCGGTGATTGAGGGATACTGTGATGCAAATTGGATCAGCGATTCAGCTGATTCGAAATCCACAAGTGGATATGTATTCACTATTGGTGGGGGAGCGGTATCTTGGAAGTCATCTAAACAAACTTGTATTTCCTGCTCTACAATGGAGGCTGAATTCACAGCCTTAGATAAAGCTGGTGAAGAAGTTGAATGGCTCCGGAATTTCTTGGAAGACATTTCATTTTGGCCTAAACCGTTGGCACCAATATGCATACATTGTGATAGTCAAGCGGCAATTGGAAGGTCCGGGAGCGTTATGTATAAAGGTAAATCTCGTCATATACGACGAAGACATAAAACCGTTAGGCAATTACTCTCTAGAGGAATTATCACGATTGACTATGTAAAGTCAAGTGATAATGTGTCAGATCCACTTACAAAAGGCCTAACTAGAGAGGTAGTTGAAAAATCATCAAGGGGAATGGGACTATGGCCGAGAACAAGTCATTGTGGCGGTAACTTTACCTAGAAGACTGGAGATCCCAAGATCTAGGTTCAAGGAGATCAAACAAAGTCATTAATGACGGTTCAACATTGTAAACTAAAATTTGTGTTCATTCTCGTGCTGAGACAATGCTCAGTACCAAGGATAAAGCATTAAGGCTTTTTAATGATTTCTAAATTTTATACGGGGTATATCAAATAGTGTATCTATGGGATGACACGTTTAGGAATCACCTATGTAAGTGTGAAGTATTAGCCACTTCAAGGAAAATTTTGTAAGGCCAGTTCTCTACGCACTTATGAAACCAGGCGGTGTTCATGGCTGAAACGGACACAACAATGAGAACCAAAGACGGTTAAGGGTTGGTTGTGTGACTTATGGTCGTCTAGGTATACACCAAAGTTCGACGGTTCAAAGATATCAAATCTACCGATTGACCGAGTATATCCGACATAAGTTCACTACGGAAGTTCAAAGGGAAACCTACTTATCCAGATGCAATTAATCCTTGCTTGCGAATCACATAGTTTTTCATGTATATTTCCGTGATATAGTCATTCCCCATTCATGTGGGGGATTGTTCGGTTTTTAAGCATTAATATGGCTTAAAAGAGGGTGAATGGGAAATGGAGGGAGATGAAAATTTTAAGTCCCCCCCCCCCCCCCCCAAAAGGGACATTGTCCCATATTGAAAGAGGAAGAGGTTTTTGACGGGTATAAAAGCAATTGCTCTTATTCTAGCTTTTAAAGAGTTGAGAAGAAGGCAAGCCTCGCGCCGTCGTCATCGTCGCTCGCTCGGCTCGACTTCGGCTTCGGATTCGGATCCGGATTCGGATTTGGTCAAATGATCGATTGATTGATTAATTTTTTGACCAAATTTATTTATTAATAGTAAATATTAACAGAAACGTTATTAAATATTTATTTTAATAACAGAATATTAATATTAATATTAATATTAAAATCCAACGGAATTGTTT